AGTGTATCAACCACAGTATTTCCAACTGTTTTAAGGATTCAGTGGAAAGCTATATTTGCCATTTCCACTTTGCTTGCTTTTAATTTTTTTTATTTGCATTTTAAATGTTTTATATTTTGCAGTATTTAAAATCTGTTTTTGTGGTTATATATATGTCCATTATTGGCTATAAGAGTGGTCAGGAAAAAGACAAATATACTTTAGATAAATTACTCAGAAAAATCTTTACAATGGGGAATGAGGAACTCTGGCTTGAACTATTCATTAAACAAAATGCTGTGTTCCAAAAGGTAATTAATAAAATGTTCCATCTGCTTCAGGACAATACTGCTTGCTAATGGACACTTACAATTTTTGAGATATTTGGAACACATCCATCTTTACTCCAGATGCTAAAACTTTCAAAATATACTAACTATTACTGGAAAGGATGAAAGTACATTTTTTGTTGTTTGAACAGATACAAATCTGGCCTTAGCAAAAACCAAACCAAACAAACCAACCAAACAAAAAAAATAAAGACTGTCATGTAGTGGGGAGGGATTGCTTATACTCAGGTCAGTTAAAGCTTCAGCCAGAGACACTATCATCATTTTTATGGTGCGTAGTGTTATGCACAACAACTGCATATTAAAAGAGGAATAAAATTTCCCTGCCATTTTATTATTCATTGAACTGGCAGAGGGTCAAGTGCTTCTTAAAACTCCAGCAAGAATCTCATTGCCTGCACCTAAAATTTCATGTAAGGTAGTATAATACATATTTGAAAGATTATGTTTAATCATACTGCATTAGAGTCTGGCTGTATAAGCACCATTTTAGACACGACACAGTAGGCAGCACTTTCTTGTCTAGAAATTATCACAGGACTCCCCTGAAGACCTGGAAGTTTGCTCCTGTGATTTTGTGGATATGCTGCACTAATTACTGCAGAGTGCTTAGGTCATATCCAAAGAAAACAGGGGTTTTTCATTGGAGAATATTTGCAGAATGAAAGAAATCTCAGTATTAATCTCAGTATTTTTTCTGGAGTCCAGATTTGCCTTTGTCATGGACATTAGTCTTGACTGAAAAGTAAACATTACACAGCATTTATCACGAAGTGATATATATCAAACATATTGAATAGGAATTAGTCTCAAAATCTTTATGTAGCAGCTTTTTGTAGCTGGCTTTTTATCATATTGATTATATTCAATGTACTTCAATTCCTTCCTATTTTTTCATTTTTTAATATGGTAAACATCAGTAGGGATATTCCTGATCATAAGTAGAATAGATTTGGCTCAGAAGGGAACATAGGGTCAGTGAATATAACACTGGGATGCAAAGGCAGGGGTTGTATGTTGCTTAAATAATTATTTTAAATGGACAGTGACAAAATTCAGATCCTAATACTTCCATTGAAAAAAATGCAAAGAAGTCTGTAGAAAGATAAGTTAAGAGCTATGAGATTTTACTACTATTGTGGAAAAATGGAAACAGAAGGTGTTTGTCATCATTCACACCAAACCTTGGTTTATCCTGTTTCCATCTTCTAAATGAGATGTTCTGAAATAAAGATCTCCAGCACAGACTGGAGGGTGTTACAAACCACCATAAATGTGAGGGTAACAGGTTCTTATTAATTGATCCTGGGAGCAGATTAGGGTGAAACAACACTGAATGACCTGTGTTTATAAACACATACATGCATACATATATATATATATGTGTGTGTGTGTGTATGAGTTAATTTTGGAAAGTTTTGGTTGCAATGGAAAGGGGGTATGTAGCCATTTTGGTTATTAGTATCAATAGCAATATAGCAGTACAAAAGCATAAAAATAACACTGAAGAAAATTTGTAAGGAAATGACAGAAAGAGAAGGAAAGGAGAATAGAAAGATATCACCACACATGGATTCAACAAGACTTGATGTAATTTCAGTGTTTGTTAGTCAAAGTGATGGCCACACTTTTGATCTGCCAGGGGTGTGGGAAGACCATGAAACATGGAGTTAATATGTATGTCAGTATTAGCAATGGATTAATGTATGTTCAGGTTTACATGGGAGTGCCCAGACACCTCTCCTGGGGAAGGGAGCTTTACACTGTCTTTTGCAATATGTGGATGTGTTGCACCTCTGGATCATGTGCAGACCTCAGGTGGAGGACCCCAGAAATGAGTCTGGCAGCTATGGCCTCCCCCTGCCAGCCCCAGCCAGGGCTTGCTTTCAGCACATCTGCAGAGTTGGCTTTTCTTGTGAATACATTGCTTCAGCCTTGTGTACTTATCCTTAGACCTGAGATAATGGGACAATATTAGCACGTTTATCTTATCTCAAGTTCCTATCTGGGGGCTTAACTTACTGTCCAAATTTCCAGGAATTCACAGAGGCATACTGGGGAGAGGGAAAGAGGGGAATTCTGTGGTCTCAGAACAGAAGAGCAGTTGCTTTTTTATATGGTTTACCATAGTGGGCAAAGTCCTTTGGTGATTACCTTAACAGTGTTTGAGCCATTAACCATTACCTGTGGATGGAGTCAGAGGTTTACCAGTAGGATCTTTCAAGGTTGCAGCTCATTTTACTGCTCATTCTTTCCTGCTCATTCTACTTCCTTAGCTGTTGCCGTGCAGCAGATGCAGGGTTTTGTGAAATATTGCTGTTTTGACTTAGTAGCATTTCATGTCTGCATTTTTCCCCCTATTTTATTTCTCTTGTAATTATTTTTATGAATGTTGGAAGACAGTAAAAAAGCAGGATCTTTGAAGTTCTTTATTGATGGAAACATTGCAAAAAGGTTCAAATTTGTATTCTAATCATTTATGTGCAGAGGTGTTTGTCAAAAGAACCTGTAGGACGTATCACTCACTCCTATTGAATTTCAGTGGAATTTCAAAGTCTTAATCCCTTCAGGCTCTTCTTCTTTATACCTCAAACATCAGTCTTACCATAAAAATGATTTATTGGTAAAGCCCCTCAGATGAAAGGTACAAGGAGGCTCTTAGGGCAATTTTCCTTTAATTACCAGGTATTTCTATCCATATTTCATATACTCCCCTGCTGCTCCTGATCCTCCATGATATTATGCATTTTGTCACTTTCCCTGGTCTGCAACTGAACTGATAGGTAACTTGTTATTTGTAAATGGGATTTAAAGTCACATGATATCTAAAAAATAAAACAACATGTAAAGCAGCAAATAAAGGAGGACAATTAAATGTGATCTATCATAAAGAAGTGAGCAAACCACTTGTTATGAGGCAGTGTCTCTAGCAGTGATGAGGCACTGAACAAAATCCAGTATAATACCAAAGAAATGCATGTTTTAGAGGTTCATAGTTTTGTATAAAACAGATATATTTGCTAAAATATTATTAGAGAAAATAGAAAATAAGATTAAAGAAAACCAAGCAAATAAATGTTCGGTGTACTGTCATGTTAGTTTTATTTAAGTTTATTTTAAAATTTTAAAATTTTAATTAGAAAAATGACAGAATTTATTACATTAATGTATTATGTATATACCTCTTGGTATAGCTAAAAAGTGAGCTTCTGTTTTTTGTCAGATTAGTTTATAAGTATCCATAATTTCCAAAATATCTCTTTGCATCTGTCGCCGTTCATAAAGAGAACTGCTTTCTCTCCTGCCCCTGTCATGCTCCTTCACATTACAAAATTCTCTTTCCTTTATTCCTCATTCTCTCCTCAGCCTCTGGCCCTGACCTGGAAAAGGTCCTCACAGCTCTTTGGCTTGCAGACCAAAGGAGCTAAAGAGAGCTGTCACTTGTCTCTGTCTAGTCAGCACTCCTTTTGTATTTCTGTATGATTGATGGAGAAGAACCCTAAGCCTGGTTAATCAGCACACAAGGGAGCCAGCAGAAAATGATAGAGGCTGATAAGTTCCTTGAAGTCACTTTGATATTGAAATCCCTTGAAAATTTTATATTGGTTAAATTTTATCAGGCCTTGTCCATTCAAAGTAATTTTCTTGAAAATGGTCTATGCAGAGCAATTGCAGTAGTACAGACTGTTGCAGCATACTAATATTTGGAAGTCATGAGACCACATTTTGTACCTGTCCAAGAAAACAAAGTTGCACCAAGGTAGCATTTGCCAATATGCTGAATACAGTTTGCTTCCAACATAGTTTTTAAGCTCTCCCATATCCAAGTTTTATGCTGGGCAAAGCAAAGCACTAAATCCATTTGCAGTTTCATTTTTGAAGATAGCTGATAAGTTTATGTTATCAATGTTTAATCAGTTTTTTGTTTGTTTGTGCTGTGGTTTAACCCCAGCCAGCAACCAACTAAACAGCAACAAACCCACCAGATGGGATTCCCAGCCTGTTGACACAGGCGTCTGGTCTAGATCATCAGTCTGCTTTTGCTTGCATCCTTTTTTCCCCACTGTACTGCTTCCAAGACTAGGCATCAGCGTGATGTTCACCAGGCACTGTGTGTCACCTGTTAAGCATCAGCTTCTGATTCGTAACTAGGTATTTTTGTTCATAAGATCCACACCACTACAGAGCCTTACATTCCTTTTCAGAAAAATCTTGTATCATTCTGTTTGTATATACGGTACCCCTTATGGGTTGCATTGTTTCCTTCCAGGCTCAGCCGATCTCCATGCTCTTGAAATGCTGAGTTACTCTACAGGAGGAGATGCTGAAAGAACTATTTAATCTTGTGTATTTTTTCCTTACTTTCCTTCCTTACTGTGTTTACTGCAATTACCCAGGTCACAGATACTTTGTACATCAGAAATATATATAAATATTGAAAGAGTTCAATATGAAAACAACACCTAGCAATCATGAAGAAGAATGTCATACCCTTAATAAGCTGACTTCCTGCTTATTATTCTCAGTACTATACAATTTTTTTGTGATGATTGTTCTCCCTTGACAATTTTGCGAAGGGAATTTTGCAGACAAAGCTTTTCTATTTTTGTTCTCAGAAAGCAGCTTAGTGTTTCATTGTGTCAAAAAAGGCATGTATTTATTCCATTACAGGAGTACACGATAGATGTGTTCTTCCGTCAGCGATGGAAGGATGAGAGATTAAAGTTTAAAGGCCCAATGAATATTCTTCGACTGAACAACCTAATGGCCAGCAAAATCTGGACTCCAGATACATTTTTCCACAATGGGAAGAAGTCAGTGGCGCATAACATGACAATGCCAAACAAACTTCTACGAATCCAGGACGATGGGACACTCTTGTACACCATGAGGTATGTCTGTTCATATCTACTCAAGCTATTTCTTGATGGGATTTTTCCGTTGAACAATTAAAACAGGTTTCAGGAGAGCCCTCCTTTGTTTTGTTTTTTGTCTAAGCAGAAAGAAAGCTAGAAAAATGTATGTTTTGTTTCCAGTTCTGTTAAAAGTCTTTTGGCTGATAATGAGTTAGATCAGTTTTCCTATGTGTGCCTCAATTTTTGTAATGCATTGAAGATACTGAACAGATTCATAAAGTTAAGTGAGACCTTCAGGTAGAGTTTACCAAGTCTGTTTTAGAATGATTAAGATAATGTAGGAGTTGACCTATTACTGCAGCCATTGTACTGAATATATGAGCCCCTAAGCAAATTTTTTATTAAGATCGGGGGAATAAAAAAAACAGACCAAGAATGAAGAGATAATAATGTCTCAAATTCTTTCCGGCAAGAGCTAAAGGGAAAATATATCTTACTATGTAATTACTGTTTCTTTATATATAATTAAAATATTTAACTTTAAATTTTAATTTTTTCATCTTGTGCATCATTTGTAGCTAAGATAAAAATTTCAGCTGGTAAAATGTATTAAATTTGCTTAGAAAATAGAATATAGAATATGAAAAATTATAAAAAATCATGTATACACAGATATTATTAGCATTTTTAAAGGACTGATTTCTTCTTTGGTAACTCTTTTGGCCATAATGTTTGTTACCTATGTGAATTTTTTTGAATATTTTACCCAAGTTTCCAGAAGCCCTTGACTTAGTTTTTTTCTTTTTCTTGGAGAATACCTAATAAATTGAAGTTGTCGTGAATGTTGACTTAAAATCCCCAGCCTAAGTCAGACAGAAAATATGAGCTTCAAAGTTAACATGTACTCTGGTACTTTCTCTATGCAGCCATGCCAGCATCCCTGAAACCCAATTTTACTACACAGCTCTGAAACCCTTACACTATTGAGAGTTGTTGAGTAGGCTGCTGATGATATTGGATGATGTAGTGCTTGGAGAGATTCAGAAAAGTTGGCTTGAAGTAAATTCAAGCCCCCTATGTTGTATTTTTGCTTTGGCTCAAATAATTATTTGAGAATAGTCTGTCTAAGCAGACTGAAATTCTCTTTCTCCAGAGAGTATAAGAATCATATACTATAAATTACAGGAAATACTGTTTGAAACCATTATGAAGAATAAGCTGAGACAAGTTAATTATAATTGACTAAGCATTTTTGTTACTTGTGAGTATGTTGGTTCTCAGGGTATGAGATTAATGTGTACACTGATCTGTTTTGCCTAGATTTTAAACAGCTGTTTTTATCATGTCTACATAAAATGATTGTGTGATTTACATCAGAGGGTCATGCAGTTCTTTCCTTTGCCTTCAGCCTGTTTGCTGATTCTTATCTCCTGGTGCCCCTTGAATTCAGATAAACATTCCTGGGGAGTGGAGGAGTAGAAATATGAAATATGTTTTAGTGGAAGGCTGGGAGAATATGGCAGAGAGTACAATGACTAGGAGCTACTGGGAATACAGAAGGATTTAACTGATGTTTGGGGCTGGATGAAGAGGAAGAAAAGGCACACAGAAAAAAATCTCTACCCAGAGAAGACTTAAAGGATAGGAAGGAGAAACATAGGATTTTTTCTTGGCTTTTTTAAAAAATTAAAAATAATGGGGAAGTCCATGAAATGCTTTCTTCAAATTGTTTTAAATTATTTTTTATTGTAGTAACCCTCGTACATGATACTGGGACATTTCACAAAATAGGCAAAAGTAGATGCTTTGTTAACATACTGTCACACTTTACATAAAGAGTAATCACTAGTAACATGGAGAATGAGCAGCAGCAATCTTTTGAAAGAAAACAAATATTTTTTCTCTCTATTTTCCATTCAAACTGTGAAAAAAATTGAATTCAAAAGACTGGAGTAGGGTTCTTTGGCAAGTTAATTGTATTTTAGATGCTCCTTTAAGAGCTGTAGGAGCACACAAGTACCACAGAATATTATGAGAAAAAAATTATTTTTCTTAACAGCCTGGCAGTACTTAATTTGTATTTTTCTTTAAACGACCTTTGTTCATAATTTTGAGGTCAGCTTTTACAGGTTCTTGATATGATAAGTAAATGCCTTTCAAAGGAACACATAAATTGGAAGAGGTAAAAGTAGATTTAAATTCCTGTTAGTTTAATATAAAATTTCAATTTAGTCTACTAAATTGGCATGAACTCTGTTCATTTCTGTGGAACTGATTTTCTTGTCCTGCTAAATGACTTTAATGCATAGAGATCTTTTGCCTTTTAGGCTTACAGTCCAAGCTGAATGTCCAATGCACTTGGAGGACTTCCCTATGGATGCTCACTCGTGCCCACTGAAATTTGGCAGCTGTAAGTATATAATGGGAAGTAGAGCCTTTGATTAGTGAATATCTAACATTTCTCAGCATAATTTTGTTTCAGTAAATTGTTACATGAGAAATGTAAACTACAAGATGGGACTTAAAAAACCACTGTAACCTGACACATCAAAATCTCTTTTCTCTGTTCAAGTATTGGGTCTTCTAGTGCATTTTAAAGATTTCATTACTGCAGTTAACAACAAACAGCCTGTACCTGATCAACACTGCACTGGTCTACTTTCATTGCAGTGTGCAAATCACACTGACCAACACAGAACTGGATACATGTAGCCTGTGTAGCATTAACAAAGAGCAGATAGAGGAATTAAATGAGTGGGTTTTTAAAATTTATCACCAAAACTTAGTTTCTCTTTATTGTTAATGATATTTTTAATGTTCTTATTCAGTGAAGGCAATAATGAATGGCTTCATGTGATAAAAAATTTCATTCTTACTGCATCTCCATGTTACAAAGAGGTGGAATTTGACCTAACTGGTATTATTTTTAACAGCAGCATTATTTCACTTTCTTAGATTACAGCCATTCTTCTTCTTCATTTTATATATTTTGGATGTTTTACACTAAAAGCTTTTTTTTTTTTTTTTCCCTTTGGCTGCAGCCTACATTCTCTGCTGGGCCCAGGAAAGGAAATTGGGATTTTTGAGGAAACAAGTTAAAGCCCTATAAATTCTGGCTGACTTTACAATAATTGTAGCAACTACAGAATACAAAACAGGGGATATGCTGCCACTGAGGACCTCATTAACCACATGATGCTTGTCATAGCACTGTGCTGCGACAAGCACACTGTCTCCATCGTGCTCCAATATCCCTTTTCCTTGGAGTTTATAGCAAATTAAACAAAGCCTGTGCTTCTGATGATGTTTTCAGATTTGTAAGAAATCTTAGCTATGGAGATAAAAGATCATTAGAATGAATACTATTTACATCATAGAGCCTTCCCTTGCCCCCTCAATATTATACTTGTAGTACATAATGCAGCCTAAGTAACTAACACCAGAGATGTGAGCCAAAATCAGCTACTGACTAATAATATTGACATATATGTACCCAGCAAGGCATGTTGGATTTATAAGGTGTTGCAGGGAAAAAAAAAGACTCCTGTGTAGCCTCAAAGCAATTTGAAAACTCGTGTAATAATGGAACTGATACTCAGGCCAAAAAACTACTTTCTTTTGGAGCAATTTTACATTGGAAGTCCTTATTACCAGGTGTATTAGACTCTGTGTGAATCACTCCTTTTTTGTCTTTTTTTTGGTCCTGATTGTTTGTTTTTCTTACCAGCTTGCTCTTTTTTTCTCTGCCTATGATTTTCTAATAATCAGAGGAATTCTAAATGTGAGCAATGTGATTTTAAAAAGTGTATTTCATTTCCCTCAAAGTCACCCGTGCCTGTTGGCACATGCTCAGGTGGCACTTACTTCTGTTCATTTTGAATGGCTTCACACACATTTTATTTCTTTACCTAGGACTCAATTCTAGACAACTGTCCATTTTTCAGCTTTTATTCTGGGATAGAATCTGAATGATGAGTAGTGGTGAAAATAAGCAGGAATCCTGAGGATTTTGGTTTAACTAAGGCAAGTTTGCCAGTGGTATATATTTGTCACAGCTCTTCATATGCTGCTAATCTTACGTTGCTAGGAGGATCATGAGCATGTATGAATGTATCTTTTTGAACATAAGAGAAAAGCCACATAGAGTGTATGGGAGAGGCTGTAGCTTAATAGATTGCTTTTCTTTATTATTTTCAAAAAGTCTAGCTGAAAGTGAAGAGAATGGAGAGAAATTAGCAATTTGCCATACTGCTGGTTTGCATTAAAGCAGAGATATTTTTGTGTAAAGCTGGAAGGATACATGGGAAGTGCTAAAAATCTCTACTTGCTACCCACCTGCTAGATTTTGTTAGTCATGCAATTTATGGCTAGTTGCATGAAAAAGCTACTTTCTGAGCCTCTAGAGATTTCTCAAGTGAAAATGTTTGTAGACCAACAGTAATGATGCTTTACTTTTTAATTGCGCTGCAATTATGGTGTAGGATTTAAAATGTACTTGTCTCAGTCAATCAAAATGAACACCCAACTTCTTGGGTTTTCATTTTTCAAATTGTTTTACCCTTTTTCTTTCATATTCCATTTGTTAATAGCATATTAGACTGTAAAAACTTTCAGGACATACTCTTTTTTTTTTTTTTTTCCCTACTTACTGGAGAGGGATTAGTGCTGTTTAAAATACAGTGTTGATTTGCTTTCATACCAGTTTATTTTGAGAGACCAAAGAGACCAGGCTAAATGTATGTTTTATCATGAATGTACTGAGAGAGTAGCCTGTTTAATGTTGGCATGTCCCCTAAAATAATGGACACTGGTGACATTTAGGAGGGTTGGCAGAACAAGGTACCAGGGTGTTTTCACTGCTGGCTTGCCATATTCAAGTCTGGATTTCAACTAATAATAAAATTCTTGTGATACATCCCCGAAGTTGAGCATGGAGACAATGGAAGGTCAGAACCATACAGGAATGATTTTTTAAAAAAAATTGTGTGTCCTAAATCTTGCAAATTGTTCTTCTTTTCATCTGTGTTATCACAAATTATAGGATAAATATAATATCTAATCTCTGACAAGTCTTTTAACAGCGTAGAAGAAATGTTGTTTGTAGTTAAATAGAAAGAAATTGTGTTTAATAAGATCACAAGTGAGTGCCCTGTTCCCATGCTGCAATAGGCACTTACTTTACAGTAAAGCTATTTTAAATGACCAAAGATATTTTTACCACACAATTTTAAATTCTTTGGGGTGAGTTTTATTTGAAAAATAAGTAGCTCTTGTAATTCTGTGAGTTTTGATGGATGCTGTTTAATTTAAATTGTTGATGAAATATTTTACCTTGTTTCCCACAGATGCATACACAACTTCAGAAGTGACATACATTTGGACTTACAATGCTTCAGATTCGGTGCAAGTGGCACCAGATGGCTCAAGACTGAATCAGTATGATCTTTTAGGCCAAACAATTGGAAAAGAGACAGTTAAGTCAAGTACAGGTTAGTAAAAAAAATATTTAAAATATTTTGGAGAAAAAGGCAGTTACTGGCTGTGAAAACTATATTCCAGGTGGTGTTACAGGCTTCTGAAAAAGAATGTTGCAAAATGGGATCTATTAGGCATGTACTGTGCAAGTAACACAAAACAGCACTTCACCGATTCTTTCTCATTATAATTAGCTGGTGATAGCAGAGGTGAAATTGCCCTCAGTAACTATTTGTAAAAATGCTAGATCTCTGGAGCTCTGGAGCTTCATGTTTAATTCTAACATTTGTAACCCAGGGTTGGGATATTTGTTAAATTTCATGGATTTCATTTTTTCATGGATTCATTTCATAGATTTTTTCTATTAAATGGCAAAGCAGAGAGGTTTCCGCTATGTTTCCCTTCCATCATGGTTTTGACATGAAACTCTGGACTATTCTACTAGACTCTAGACTGTTTTCCTGCATGTGCCAGGCCAGGACCTCCATGACTTCTTTCAAAGCCTGAATAAATTCTCAGAGAGCTGTTCTGTGAATGCAGAGAGTTGCTTATAAGCAGAAGACTTCAAGGCTGAAGTACTTCTCAGTGCATACAAAAGTTCCTGGAAGTTCCTTGACACTCATCTTTCATGGAACACAGTGGGAATAAGAAATAGCTGTACTCAAAATCTTTCTTACATTCTACAGGATGAATTCTATTACAAAATACCTTGGGTACAATATAACCCTAGAACATTTGTTTCACATAAATATAGCAAATGTTCTAGGACTGAGGAAATAGATTTTCTTAAGATGATAACCTTTTTTTTTTTTTTTTTTGTTTGTGGCATGTAGGTGAATATACAGTAATGACGGCTCATTTTCACTTGAAGAGAAAAATTGGTTATTTTGTCATTCAGACTTACCTCCCCTGTATCATGACTGTCATTCTGTCTCAAGTGTCATTCTGGCTGAACAGAGAATCTGTACCTGCCAGGACAGTCTTTGGTGAGTATACTGAGTAGCAGTAGCTCTGTTTGCAGTAGCTGAAGATGCTAGAAAGTACTTCTGAATCAAAGGGCTTTTTCATTCAAGTTAAAGTGTTTGTAGAATGTGATATGATTTCTAGTCCAAACAGCTTTCAACTGCAGCTTACACATCTCCTGAGAATCCCAAAGGTCTTGGAAATTAGTACATACAAGCAAACTGTCCTCATATCCTTGAGTCTTAAGAGGAAAAAAAAATCACAGAATAGAAAAAGATATTCATGTTTGTATTTAAAAAGTAAATTTAGTAAACTTAGATTATTTTCTGAAATATCCTGCTTACCTTGGTATTATCCAAGTATTATGGTACTTGGTAGATAAGCAAATTTCTAAATTTATTTTTAAATTAGGCAAATTAAATTTGAATTTGTTGAATTATTTGTGTTAAAATTTCAAGCTGAAGTTCTTTTAAAGAAACCCTATTCTGGGGGTTTGGGCAACACTTTTTTGCTAATTCAAATTGGAGATTACTGTGAGGCAGGATCAGCAGAGCAATAAGATGGTGTTTCTCAAAGTAACGTCTTTCCTATTTGCAAAGCAAAGTTCATTTAGTTTGTTTGCTTTTAAAGAAAAAGAGATTAGCAAAATAAAATTATTTTCTGTGTGAAATCACCCATCAAAAATGCTGCATAAAATGGTATGCTTAGTCATCAGTGAGCACCGTGTACTCTTCAAAAAATAGGCCAAACTCAAATGCATATTAAATATGATGCACAACAAAGCATTTACTGTCTCTCCTGGTAGAAAACATGCCACACAAAGCACTGTGAAAATTGCAGGTTTGAATATGAGCCTTACAGAAGTCAGATGAAGTGGTTCAGTGGTTTCAGTGGGACCAGAATTCTACCATGGTTTTCCAGGCAGCTATCAGACAGATTCTTTGTCTTCAAAATCTTCTGTGAATTTATCTATTTTGATTATGAAAATGTACACTCCTGTTTTCCAGCCTCGCAAGTACACTGTCAAATCCTTCTATATCTCCATCTTTGCCCTTTTCTGTATCCACTCCAATACATATAAGACAGTGTCACTGGTCTCTCCAAAAAAAAGTCTCACATCTGCTTTTCCTAAAATGCTCTTTCTGTTACTATGTCACTGTTAACAAGGCACTCCATGCATAACAAGACCCTGGGATAATTTTCCTGAAATGTGTCCCTTCCTGCACACCTGTTCTATATTATTGATTTATTTTCTGTTTAATTTATATATTTTTTTTAAAAATAAGTAGTATCTGCATGGCAGGCTGCTGCTTTGCTCTCCTGGGGTTTAGTGTAACATGGATAATGAAGTGTCCTGCTTCAGGGCTGATTCAGTCTTGAGGGAAGTGCACAGGAGGGCCACAGGAACAGAATCACACCACTCAGCGACACCAAACCTGAAATCTCTTTACTAAAAACAATGAGTTTATTGCAGACATGGCAGTTTTACGCTAGTATTTTATTCCTTCCACACAGACATGCACCCTGTATGCCAGTAAGGGCTCTGTCCCCTCCAGGCACCCTTAACCCAGGGAAACAAGACACATCCAGGCTCTGCCTTTTGGAGAAACCTCAGCCCTAGCATGCAGCATTTGCTCCTCAGGCATAGCCTTTTTCATTGGTTTGGGTTGGATTTTCCCCGAGGAGCTATTTCATAGCATTCTTTGGCACTCTAGGTGAGATTGAGCCAATGGGCTCCCTAAATGCAGAGCCCCAAGTGGATCTCCCAGGCTTTCTCCATTCCTACTGGCAGCAGTTGTCACTGGGATTTCTGATACCCCCTGGTCTCTTGCCTGAGTTACAAAAATGTGCAGTTAGTCAGAGTTTCATAACAAAGTTCCTCTGTAGCTCTTTAGTAGTTTTTGAGCGTACGGAAATATTCTTGTCAGTTGGAGCTGGGCTGGTACACTCAAGGTTTCATCTGGGTGATACTTTGGAGTAGGCCTCATCCAGTGACAAGAGAAGCTCATGCTGCAGTCACATTAATGAAATGAGCTACATTCAGCAGATAATATAAAAAGTTTAGGGGGTATTCCTTTAGATTTTATTGATCATACCTAATTTTCAGTTTTTATATGGAGTATAAAAACTTGTTAGATACCCATTTTTGCATTTTATATCAAATATATCAATTTTAAAATATAATTAAACAGAAATTATGAGTCTGAAAAAGTGTTTTTGAAAATCAATAACAAATTTATTTCAATGACCTTCTTGAGAGCTAAGGACCTACTACAGGAATACTATTCCTTTCAATGAAACATAGCTTCAAGTTATTCAAAGCACCTCCTAGCATGTATTATTTCATGGGTGAAAGAAGTTACTTTTCTTCTCCCTTTTTATTCTCTTTCAATGTAGTTTCAAGTTCTAGGCCAACATTAGGGGTTGGTATAATGAGGCTTGTTTTATAGATGAGCTCTTTAATCCCCTTTCTTTATGGCATCTATTTAATATTGCTATATTGCTTCAACTTTGCTTTAAATTATTGGAAGAAGAAAGTTTCGTCATCGTTGATTAAATAAGTCTTGAATGTGTTTTCTCTAGGAGATAAATCTGATTGCATTCCTAATGAAAGAAAATAGGACTGGTTCATAATGCCTTCATTTAGTGCAAGATTACAATCTGTTTCATTTACTAATGTGTTTATTGTCATGCATTTAGTGTCAACAATATTAGCAAAACTAATCTTGTGCAGCTTATTGGATTCTTGTTTTTTTTTTAATGGGTCATAGCACTTAGAAGCATCACGTGTTTGAATAGCAGCATTAGATGCAGGTGACAAATCAGAAATTAGTTTTCTTAGTTCTACAGTTATCTATCCTTTAATTCACATGGAGTATCAATGAGAATGATAAAATAAATGTAGTTAGGTATATAATCTTTGTTAACTGAAGCAAGAAAGAACAAAAATTAGTCTTATTGTTTATTCTATTTAAATTCACTTAGCTATGTTCTTTTGTCAGTTCACTGTGATAATTTTATTGTTGCTCTGAGTTCCTGTGTCTGTTTTTACTTGTTCTTGATGTGGGTTCTTTCCATGGGGTGCAGTCCTTCAGGAGCAGAGTGCTCCAGCATGGGTCCCCTGTGGAGCCACAGGTCCTGCTGGAAGCCTGCTCCAGCCCAGATTTCCATGGTGTCACAGCCTCCTCCAGGCATTCAGCTGTTCTTTTGGGGGGCCACCGTGGGCTGGAGGTCGATCTCTGCTCCCACATGGACCTCTCTGTGGGCTGCAGGGGCATGGCTGCTTCCCCATGGCTTTTACCGCAGGCTGAAGGGGGATCTCATCTCTGGTGCCAGAGCACCTCCTCCCTCTCCCTCTCCACTGACCTGGGTGTCTGCAGAGGTGTTTCTGTCTCATGTTCTCGCTTGTCTTCTCTGCCTGCACTTGTGTCTGCTCAATATAATTTTTTCTCCATCTTAAATATGTCATCCTAGAGGCACTGGCAGTGTTGCCCTTGGGCTTGGCCTTGGCCAGCAGTTGTAGGTCCCTCTTGGAGCTGGCTGGCTTTGGATCTCTCAGGCATGGGGGAAGATCCTGGCAGCTTCTCACAGAAGCCACCACTGCAGGCCCTGCTACCAAAACCTTGCCATGCAAACCCAAAGTAGCTTTTTAATTGTGACACTACAGAAAGAGGAACCCAAGAAAAGTTCTTGGAGAACTTTGAAGATTTGTTCTCTGGTTATTTTTACATGGGAATTGAATAATAAAGACACGTCCTTTTGAGCAATTTTATAAATACAAAGTACATTTTCCCATTTCATTGAAAAAAAATCTCAAGTGTCTTTATTTTTCTCTCCTTCCACATGCTGCAGATTATCTTTTGTGCATTTAGAGATATCCCACCACTCACACATTTCTGTTTATAATTTCTTAATTGGGAATTTCTGCTTAATGTAGATATAATTATATAGTGATAGGCAGTGGGTAGTGGAAAACTAGCCCTGAGTAAGAGACTGAGCTGGTTACAAACAAACCAGTATGTCTCCTCAACTTAGTTGTGTGTGAAGTCACTAGTTCATATTCCAGGGGTGGCATAATTGCATGCAGTTTTCCTGGAGTTGGGGTAAATAGCATTTGCCATTTGGCTTTGGGAATAAACTTGTCTGTTGCTCAATGGGAAATTGTGTTCCATTGCTCAGTATTGATACAGTGAAGCAGCATGGTACCAACTTCACCATATGGATACGTAGCTTACCCAAATGATTGAATTCAACTTTTCTGGAAATAGATTTTGTTATAGTTCTTGTCTCCCAAGCTATTTAAAAAGGCTGGTCGTTGTTGTTATTTTAGTGAAAAGGGTAGACAGAGTGATGAGCTATTTTCTGTAATCGTTCTCTCAATGGTTGTTCAGATTTTCCTGCTGGTGTTTGAGCAAAAAAGTACACTCCTTTTGTATTGCATTCCCTTCTAACACATATACATTGAGTAAATAAAAGCAAACAGCATCCTGTGTACTGAAATGTTATGGTGCAATGCTTTAATATCATGCTAGATACAGAATTTTTAAACTTTTGTTTACACTTCTATTTGGTCTTGGAGTGATAAAATGAAGTGGTAATCTGTATCTCTGAAATGGTCAACAATCTTTCCTTTCTGCCGTTATTTGTATTTATGAATCTCTTTGGGTTTTGGACACCAGGTTGGATATCTAATTACCAAAACACATTTGCAATTGCTGTTAAAAAAATAGAATAAGGAAATTAATTTCCTAAATTAAAAAAAAAAAGTGATTTATCAATCCTTTTGTGATATGTTCTTCAACCATTATGTGTAACTAATAAATGTGGGCATAAAGTAGTTATATTGACAGATTTTAACTTTATTGTATATGTGTTAACTCCTCCAATTTCCACTCTCTGTTTCTAGTTAGACATTTCTAGCTTTTCAGATTGCCTCTTCCACTGTTATAAGCAAACAGAACTGCTACTTTCCAGAGATATAAGTTTAGTGCCAGTGAAAAGTGTTGAATTTGCAGCTCTGGAGATGGATTTTCTCTCTCCAGTAAGCAAATGCTGTTTCAAAAGCAGCACCATTAAAAAAAAAAAATCCCAGGCAATCGAATAGCTCCAGTCTTGGCTGTAATAGATAAACCTGTAGTGACAGAAGATATTTAGCTTTGTAGGCATGCACTGCTGAGAACAAACCTTGTAAGGATGTTTACTGTTAAGTAAAAATGCTTGGTCTTCTTTGGAGAAAAATGTGGTTGGATGGTTTATTTTTTTCGATCTTTTTCAAAGCGAAACTGATGACTGCTCATGGTCCTTACAAAATAATACGTGACTGTTTCTTCTGGCATCAGTTCACTTGCCACATCTGCTGGGTGCTGGGCTATAGAAGAGAGTTCTTGCCCTGTATATAAACTGGTTTTTCTGCATCATAGTGAGATGTCATGCAGTCTTTACATAGCCTTTTAAATGTTTTTTGACCACTTCATTGTAGGGGCTACAATCTACTTGCTAATTTTATACCAATTTTAGTTCACTAGTGTTATGAATTAGATGAGCAATGATGAAAAGTTTTGTTCTGATCAGTGTATGGGTTTTGTGAGGTTTTAAGTTAAAAACCTTTAGGAAATAAATGAGTTTTGTTTTTTCAAGTTGACTGTGTTCTTCCACATTAATAACTTTTCAGTCCTCTCAGGTTTAGCCGTGGCAAGAAGGCAGGTTATTTCCATTCAGTCCTTTTTCATAAAGAAGACTTGATAAAACTGATTTTTCAAATTAACTATAATGTGCAAAATCATCTGTCTTTTCTCTGAAGAATAATAGCAATTTGAAAGGACTAGAGAATCCTAAACTGACATATATTAAGATGAAATTTTCTGTCCAATTTTTTCCCATTCAATTCAGGTTAAATGACTGTGGTAGCTTGAACATCACTGAATTTATAGAGTGAAGGAATAAAATGAAAATGTGTTGGCAATGGTCTGACAGTGTGCTGCTTGATTAGCATTTGGGTCACAAAGTGGTGTAACTTGCTGAACTTTTTAGAGAAATTGTCAAGTGGTAGCATGTGGTAACAAGATATAAATTCACAATGTTTTAACTGGGACTAGGAAAGGTCAGCAGTAAATCTTAAATCAGATTTCTGAAGAAGTCAATGTGGTTTCCAGAAGATTAATTTACTCTATAAAGTGGGATTTAAACTGAATAATACCTTAGCAACTGTATATATTTACATGTGGATAAGGTCACCTTATATCTGAGAAACACTCACTTTACTGAATCTCTGTATAATTATAATGGTTTATCTGCAGCTCAGGACCAGTGTTAAAATTTACATGTGAAAATTTTAGATGTAAGATAGGCTCTCTTTTCCCTGAGGTGCTGAAATTAATTAAGCCATATGTTCTGTAAGCATTAGGAGAGACTAAGTTCTTTACTTAGAATTAATAATAAAAATATATTTTTTCTACAGATTTTTGTACTGTTCCGTGTGATAGCTGCTTCCTTTTCATTGTATAGCGTAGTAGATGCCAACAGTGTCATGGCTGATTCCAGGCCATCCACTTCTTTAATTTATGGAGGCTGAAAAACAGCAATTAGAGGTTTATGTTTGCTAAGGAGTCTCCTGTGTTTCTCAGCAGGATGCTTCTGTGTGTTGTTTTCCCTGCTGCACAGACCTTTGAAGGCACTGAGGCTGAGTCCACTTAGCTTTGCTCTGCCACCCTTTGTGGCACCTTCAGAGATGGAGAATCTTTACTGGAGGGATGAAAATTGTGGAGTCTGAAGAGGTCTCAGTAGATGCAATTGCTGCCTCTCTTGTCTTTCACACAGTGGTTAAAATTGCTTCTTCTCTTGTAGCAGAAGGAAAATCAGAGCTCTGTTGATCCTCCAGAACCCAGGTGACAGATTGCTGACAGCAGAAGGTCTGGCTTAGGGAGAGTCACTTTACTTTCTCTTGGGAAGCCTCCTACACCAGTTTTATGAGTGTGTATTTGTTGAAGCTGTGATGTGCTGTTACTAATATTTCTGCCATGGCATCTCCTTTGCTGTCATAGTGGAGTGTAGGTTTGCTGATCTGTGCTGAGTACATCACTTTGTGGTGCCTTTAATTCTGCAGACCTGCTTAATGGTGTGCCACAAAGGGAATAGTTTGACTTGTCTGCGTGTGATTCAGCCTGAGGTGGGAGAACTGATTTACTTAAGGAATGGAGACTGTATTTATGGCTATGGATTTCTGCTCGCTAAATCTGACTCAGACAAAAGTTCTTCTCTTCCTTTCCTTCCATGTATCTTCTTCCTGATTCTTTTGGGAGGGATTTTTTTTTTTAACTGGATCCTTATTATGTAAAAAGTACTGCAAAGTTCTTTTAGTAACTGCACAGTGAATGCACAGCCTTCCTGTATCACCAACTCCTGTTTTCTGACACATAATACAGTTACAATAATCTGTGACTTCAAATCAGTGCTGTTCTAGAATACAGTCCATGTTACCTGAATGAGAACTTACACTGTTTATGTCTTTGAGTATGTCACTGAACGGTAAGTAAGACAGCAACTTTAAAGAAAAAAAATTCTCATTTAAAAAGTGTATTTGTTTGGTTATTTCAGTAAATATGGGCGCCAAACCTGCAGCCATTGCAGAGAAGTCAGCTAGCAAACATTAACCTATTAATCATTATTGCTCTAATGTTGCTAAATATTATGAATCTGTGAAGAAATTATTAATTTTGTTAGTTACAATAACCTATCCTGCCCTGACAAGTTAAGAAAAATTATTTTCTGTGAGTAAAATCATCAACTCATCTAAAAAGGAAAGTTTAGACAGGAAATTGAACTGAAATTGCTTCAAAGGAAAATCCAGATACAACATTTGATACAATTCTAGCAATGTTTATCACCAACTTAGAAAAAAAAAATCCATTGTGTTTCAAAAGAATACCATGGTATTTTTTGGTTTATTTTTGCTAACATTCAAAATCCAAGTGAAATTGTTGATGTTCTATTTTTGTATCCCCCTGCAGGAGTAACAACTGTGTTGACAATGACAACACTGAGCATCAGTGCTCGAAATTCACTCCCCAAAGTAGCATATGCAACAGCTATGGATTGGTTTATTGCTGTTTGCTATGCATTTGTATTCTCTGCATTAATTGAATTTGCAACTGTAAATTATTTCACAAAACGAGGATGGGCCTGGGATGGAAAAAGTGTAGTGAACGATAAGGTAAGTCCTAAGGAAATTGTTCTCTTTCCAGTCAATTACCTAAACCAGCTCTAATATATTGTTATGATATTTTGCTGTATAACAAAAAAAAGCTTTACATCAAAAGAATGTACACGTATTTTCTGTCCTGAACAGGAATATTTCTGCCCTTATGCTAACTCATTTGGTCTCATTAATCCAGATTTGGTTATCAAGAACATTATCTTTTGGGAACTGCCTGTCTTGTTTTTTGACTCCTCAGATACAACCGTTTATCTGGTTATTCATAAAATTTAATCCAGATTATATTGGCGGATCACTCTTTGTATTTTTTATTCAGTTGAGCTGGAAATAAAAGGAAGAAAACCCAGAAATATATAATGTATATTAATTTGGTAATCATTAATAATTACTCATGGTATGTAAGGTTTAGAAAAGCAAATTAATATCTATATATGTAAGTACTATGAATAACAAAATCTAGAACTTCTGAACATTTCCAGTATTCAGAAATTTACTGCTAATGATAGCTAGACATTAATTTTAAAACCATTTTAGATAGCAGATGTACAAAATTCTTCACCTATGATGTGTTGATGCTTTGAGTACACAGAAACAGAGTCATGCCTTAATTTTCTGGTCTTTATAATGGTGTAGCTGTGATAGCATGAAGTTTTGACCGGATGGAATTTCTCATTTCATAAACAGAATGAGCTAGTGATTTTTGTATTTGCAGTTTAGAATTGTAGTAACACAGAACAATTATTAAAGCTCACTCATTTTGACTGACTTAATATATTTTATCCTTTTTTCATATTGTAGTCCTTGATTTTACCAATGAAAACAGATTTATTCTGAAAAATACACAGACTTCTGTGATCCTTCCTAAAATAGGATAGAATTTTATTTGCTTCCTAAATGATTCTAGTAAGTGTGGAGCAGGTTTCATTAACTGATTTCTCATCATTTTGAATGCATAAAGAAGCATGCATAAAGACGCAATTCATAAAGAAGCAAAATGTTCAGTCAATAGTAAAGGAGAATTAGAAGAAATGTTCATTCTTCATCATTTCCTGTGACTTCTGGAAGGGCATGTGTTATCCATACCTTCAGGATCTGTTACCTCCTGCTAGAAGTAAATCAGGGTGAGTTTATCAGCATATCTTGAGTGAAGCTTTTCAGACTGGCACATTGCCCTGTGTGCCAGTTATTGCCAGTATTACAATAATGGTAGTAATATTGCAATTGTAATAATGTAGGGAGTCCTTATAAACTCTCTGATCATCCTTTGGTTATTCCTTTAAAGTACAAGTGTTGTCTCATGATCTTAGGAGTGGCAGCTCTTTAAAAGCTAGCCAGTATTCCTTCCCTAGAAGTGATAATAGCATCCACTACTTTTAAGATTTATATACCATCCATGTGTCCAGTTCTCCTCTTTCTTCAAACTAACTTAACAAAAAGATAAGCTTTTAACATAGTCATAGTTTCTCACACAAAAGTATGGTTCAGCTTTATTATGCAGGTCTCATTAATGATAGTACAGATACCTTTTAAAACACACTAATTGTGTCTGAAAGGAAGGACTTAGAGATGAATTAAATTTGGTAATATAGAAGAATTTGATTTAGCAATTTGCTTATTTTAGCTGAAGATATCTGTACACCTAAAGCCAGGCTTACTTTTCACTAATTAAAATGCAATACTTTTCACTAATTAAAATGAAATATGTTTCCTCAGTGACAGTTGTCTGTGTACACATTATATGGAAATTCTTCTCTAAGTGCTGTTGACAGGGAATTTGCCTCACAGGCAGGCAAGTGCAGGAAAAAGCTACATATTTGATCAATTATTTCTCACATGTCAGTCGATAAGGAACAATGCTGAATTCCCAGCTGGTTCTCAGATTCTCTTTTTATGTGACACCATCTCCTAAGACAAGATATTATAGGCACAACATCCAACCATGAAGACCTTAGCAAGATTTTTAGATGGCCCAGATAAATATCAAATTGGATGTAATTTAAAACCAATAATTGGAAATGGAATAGATGCCTCCCAGTGGGAGTAAAAAAACTGAAATGCACTTATATGAGAAATGTCACAAGAATTCCGTTACCTGTGTCACATCCATCAGATTAAAAATCAAAACAAACCAACACAACTGATGATTTCTTATATGATCCAGAAGTTAGCTATTTTTTCATCTGCCTAATTCTGTATTTTGTGGAAGAGACAGACTAAATCTAATATTTATTTGCTTGTCTCTAAATTGCGTACATATATTTTAAATTATATTGTATTATTGTATTGTTTTATATATAAATGATATATGTTATATTTATATACATGTAAATAATATAGATTGCTTCCTGAGAAACTGCCTTCCATTCTTTCTTGTAGGAATTCTTATTAGAAATTCCTTAGTCTGAGATAGTTGCAAAGCATTGGATTAATTTACAGCATTACAGTCTGATTGCAGAATCAGTCTGTGAACCTATGTATTGGTCTAAAACCCCAAGCCTGTATTCATTCCCTATACATCCCTGTGCCCATGTGTCCACATGGACTCTCCAGTGACATGCCCTTGGCTGAACTTTCGCCCTTTGAAAGCATACACCGTCCCATAACAACACAGAACTGGTGAAGTTGGAATTGACCTCTGGAGATCATTGCATTTATCTCCCCTAGTGCAAGCAGGGTCAGCTAGGGATGGTTGCTCAGGGTCATTGTCCAGATATTTTTTTAATATCTTCAAAGATGAAGATTCCACAACCTCTCTAGGTAACCTCTGCCAGCGCTAGGTCAAGCTCATAATAAAAATGGAAGGTTTTTTAATACTTAAGTGGAATATTCTGTATTTAATTTTGTGCTCATTGCTTCTTGTCCTTCAACTGTATTTCACTGGGGAAAGTCTAATCTTTATTCTCACATACTTGCATACATTGACAAGACTTCCCCTGAGCCTTCTCTTTTCCAGGCTAAACAGCCCCAGCTCTCTTGGACTTTTGTATTTCAGATGCTTCAGGCTTTAAATCATCTCTGTGGTCCTTGACTAGACTAGTTTCATTATCTCCATGTCTCTCTTGAGCTGGGAAGCACAGAGCTGGATCCAGCGCTCCAGATGTGGCTCACCAGAGCTGAGTCAAGGGGAATGATCACTTCCCTTGGCTGGCTGGCAGCGCTCTGTGATGCAGCCCAGGAGGCTGCTGGCCTTTGTTTCTGTGAGGGCTCACTGCTGGCTTGTGTTCAACTTGGTGGCCACCCAGACCCCCTGGGCTTTTTCTACAAAACATCTTTCAAACCCATTAGCCTCAACCTGCACTGGTGCATTGCTTATTTCTCCCCAGGTCCAGGACTTAAATTGCCCTTTTCTGAGCTTCATTAAATTAATTCCATCCCACTATCCTTATCTTCTGCTGTTTTTTTATGTTCTTAGTCCTGTTTTCATCATTGTTATGCATTTTTTTAACCAATAATTTATGAAAAACAGAAATAGTTCTAGAGTTCTAAATCTCAGCTCAGTTCCAAAACTCTCAGTCTGGATTCCTTCTCTCACTTAATTGCAATCTCTTACTGACCTCTCTATATGTGTGTCTATGTATATATGTGTGTAAACACATTTCTCCAGAGTCTCTAAAAAATGTAAACCCTTAACTGAAATTCATGTATTTATTAGTGGTGTGTTATGATATGCCCAGATGATAGTCATGCTAGTTTTATGTGAGAAAAGTTGCCTAATTTTAATTTTACTACCATGACAAGTAATCTTCACAGAAAACATTGTAAGGAATTTGCAATTCTGCTGTAAGGAGACCGATGCAAAGCCACTACAGAAAGGGCAATGCTTCTCCAGTTGTGCTTACAGTCATAGTAACAGAGACTTCCTCACATAACTTCAGTAGGGCATTTGATGGTGCAAGAGCAATCTTATGTCACCTCAACCTTCTTTTTGGATAGACTGGAAATGTCTTTCTTTATATATGAATTTATTGGCATGGCATTTATTTTACTATGCTCACTTGTTTCTTTTACTTTTGAAATTATGTTTTATTAAGTCTATTCTGGCAAATACACATGAAATATTTAACTTCCTGCTGTCTTTCAATAGAAAAAAGAAAAAGCATCTGTCATTAAGAAAAACAATGCCTATGCAGTGGCTGTTGCCAACTATGCTCCAAATATTACCAAGGACTCAGTGCTACCAACCATCTCCAAGAGTGCTACAACTGCAGAACCCAACAAGGCAAAACCAGAAGCGAAGCCACAAGAAGCAAAGAAGACATTCAACAGTGTTAGCAAAATTGACAGAATGTCTAGAATAGTGTTTCCAGTCTTATTTGGTACTTTTAATTTAGTGTACTGGGCTACATATTTAAACAGGGAGCCCGTCTTACTTGGCTTTGCACCATCAACCTAAAAGCTGACTTGCACTGAGGACTTCAAGCATCATTCTAATCAGATAGGTTGTTCGCTATGTACAGTCCGACTAATAACTGCTAATCTGTGAACCATTCTGTACAGTGTGTATATAAATGTCTTGTCTGTGTGTCTCCAAAGGAGGGGCACAGCGTTAATTCATGGGTCTGTAAACAGATAGCACCCATGGCAAATACAGCCAGCTCTTTAAAAGTTAAACCCAGGGGACTTCTGTTAAACTAGGATTCAAATATACAGAATTATATTCTCTCCGTACAATGAGATGAAGATGTGATCCTACATAATTATTTAGGAGCAGTATTTTTTTAATTTAAAGTTAAAATATTTTTCTATAAAGTAACTAATTCTACTTTAGTGAAAGAAACTGTCATTTAAAAAAAGTGATTTTTTTAAAAAGGTGTAATTGTTTCATACAATAGCAGTACCCATGTACATAACAGAGTACGGAGATCGTAGAGTTCTGCTCTTCAAAACATTCTGGATACAAGTTAGATTAAGGAGGTAGTAAACACTCTACTGTATGGCAAAATCCACAAGTTTCTTACTTCTGTCCTCTTTGAAGTTGTTAATAAATACATCTAATTGATTTCAGGGAAAAGGGTAAATCAAATTCAATATCAACCAACTTCTGCTAGTGAGATACTTATTTTTTCAGTGTTTATTTATTTGATATTACTAAGCTGGATTGTCTGGTTCAGCAAAGCTGGATTTTTTAAAATTATAATTTTTGATTTTTTTCTTAATTGAATTATTTTCAGGTTTCTAGAATCACGCAGAAATTTTTCAGGTTTAAGTTTATCAGTAATATAGTATAATTTTTTTCTTTGCTTAATGTTTTCCTAAATCCTGCCATTACAATATTTACCTGTATTTGTCCCAGGAAGCACTGTTTTCAAGGGAAACAAGAACCATGATTTAAGTTCAGGAATATGTCCATATAATAAAATTTACTGCTGCTTTTGTAAATTGCAACTTTACATTTCGCTGACATAACTTTACAACAACTTTGTATACTAGAAATGATTTTGCTAAGATTTGAATGTTATTTTTTTAATAAAAGGTCATGCATCATCAGTAGGCATCAACTGTATTTCATACACACAAATATAACAAAATTGGATCTGCCATTGGCAATTTTATAAGAACATTTAATACTATCAGTAAAATTGTTTTTCTTCTGAGCCTTTGCAAAGATTCTTTATGCCCCTAAAGGCCTGGTAAATCATAGAATAAATAATAACTGTGTACTGTATTTAGATTTTAGTATACTTGGCCAATCAAAAATATTTTGATTCACACATACATTAGCAGTTATTAGTTGACCTTTAAAAAAGAAACACCTTTATGATGATGTCTTCTAGTAGAGACATATGTAGTCGTATAGTGTCATTTATTGCAGTTTTGTACAGTAACTTGAGTATAGTGCATAAAATAGATATGTTCAGAGTTTAAAAAAAGTTGTACAAATATTTCTAAAATCAAATAAAAGAGTATCTTAAGACATGGAGGTGTGCTAAAAACAACAAAGAGAAACACTGCTTTCTTTTGCTGTTTTATTTTCTTGCTTTTTCTTTGCTTTTGATGTGATTCTGTTTTGTACTTTGTGTGACAGTATAGATGCCAAGGTCACAAATGCATATTATAAATAGAATTAATAGTTAAGACAGAGTTGACATCAGTAAAATAAAGACATTTAGTAGGTTATAAAAGAAGGGGAGAAGCATGGACAAGGTGTGTATCCCTTGAATTCCCTCTAATTAAACTGTCAGACTAAACCTTTCTCATCAACAGTAGCTTAAAAATGAGCACTTTACTCAGAACATTAAAAGAAAAATATCCTTATTTTCATATATATTTATATGTAAATGTAGATCTTCCATGTAACATGGAGATGTGTGCAATAGTGTGATTATGAACAAAAGGCTAGAAGGCAAGCAATAAAAAAAAGGGTTTTTTCATGGTATAAGCATACATTTTTAAAATGTTTCATTTGTAAATTAAAATTTTTCCCTTGAACATCCCGTTGTCCAAGTATGAATAAATATATAAATATGTACATATGTACAAATAATTGTAAATATTAGGACTGTAGAAAAATCCCTTCACTTTTAGCTCTGTTTTTGGCAAAGGGCTCTGACTGTATAGTTTAATGGAGGCCCCTCCTAAAATGCTCTTGAACTTGAATAGCTCGATTATGTTTTCTGTGGCTGCGGTCTCCTTCCTGTGACCTAGTGAGAGTTCTTACCTTCTGTTCTTATCTAGGGACTCTGATCTAGGGACTCTGCAAACCTCTCAAGACTGGGGTGTGAGAAACAGAGGGTTGTGTTTCACCCTTGGCTACATCCCAGGTACTCAAACCCTTCACAGTGTTGAAACTGTTGTATATTTCTCCATGCACGACACTGTATAGTCAGAAGTCTCCCCATGCCAAATGTGAGTGTGCTCAGTCATGTTGAATTACCTGATAAGGAAGGCTCTTGCACCCTTATCCAAGAATGGGACCTCCTCAAAGGCTTTTAATGGTAAAGTCTTCTCCAGCAAGACTTCTCTGGAAAATACCACCTGGGTAACTCAGGTGGAGTTTGCTGCATGCAAAAAGCCCATCTTCAGTTTGCACAAGAAGCCCAATGCTGTCTCATGCTAGTCAGCCCTGCTGCTACCACTTTCATTAGGTACAACTATTTATTCATCCACTGACCCTTTTCTCTACACTTGCTTGAGTCAGTAGAAAAACCAGGTGTTTGTCACATGGTAAAGTTACATTTATTGCCCACTTATATAGCAAAGTAGGCATACTATATAAACTCAGTAAAAAAACCCCAAAACATTTTAAATATATACATGCAGTTATTGTGGGCATCACAACACTTTTAAATGGGCACGCTCCAGAAAATTTAGTAAATTGGTAAACGTTAAAGCAATCTCCTTCTATGGAAAGAAGGGGTATGCTTTACTGTTTCACTGCTGAAACATTTACAGTGGCCCAGCTAAGTACACATAAGTTGCAAATTTTTAAGACTGCCAACTGGATAGGTGAATATAAATGTAAAGATTTAAGTGAATGGGAGCATTGTGCAAGGAATACGAGAATACAACAGTTAGGCCTTACTTTCCTTTAGAAGGAATCTGTGTCATTTCATTTACCATAGAATCTGTGTCTGGGATTTTAAAGCTGATGTCACAAATCTATGTGCCAAATATGGAGAGGTTTCCTATAATTTGAGTAAATCTTGCAGGTCTTAAATACTTAAAGTGGGGAGTATGAGTGAGAAAATGCAAGTCACTTCTCAAGGACTTGCACATGGAATCTGACAGTGAATTTTTTGGTTGGCATATTAATCTAACCTACTTCTCCTATTATTCTTGGGTCAGTGTATCATATTTTGTGATTTAATAAATTAATAAAATAAATACAAAGATAAAACACTGTGGTAAAGTTAGATTGGAGTTACAGTAATTCTAAATGAGGTTTATGAAGTAGGCTTCCACTATAGCACTGCGGCACATATTTCTGGATGCATGTGTCAGGTAATTTAACAGTAATTTATAAATCAGCATGAAAAGTAGAGATCAGCACAGTTTATCAGCCAGAGTTGTCTGCTGGAGACTTCATGACAGAAGAGTAGAAAATTCTCAATTATGCTGTGGCCAATTAAATTACCTCCACCTGTCGTATGTGAGCTAATTCAACTTGTAGCTGCTGCATTGTTGAGCATCTTATAAAAAAATATTATGGTAGGCATTCTGAGATATGAGCTTTAGTTTGGCAGACCACTCATACCACCGAACACTATTCTAAATTAAGGAGCCAATTTGCCCATATAGTCACAGGAAAGAGCATCTAGAGACTGAACAGGAGCCTTCCCTTCCCTTCCCTTCCCTTCCCTTCCCTTCCCTTCCCTTCCCTTCCCTTCCCTTCCCTTCCCT